TGTTTTTCTCCAGGTTTCATTCCTGTTTCCTTTCATATGTATTCATTGCAAGTTTTATGCAACATCCTATTGTGATTACCTATTGTAGGCCCCAATAAAGGGTATTTTTAATAGGCCTACTAATATTTATTTCATGGGGCTTCTGACAGTTCTCCAATCATCCCTAGTTAGTTGCTGGTATTTTATGGAGGAATAAATCTCTTTGAAAGAACTGTGCATCATTAACTAATCCCAACATTAAGTTTATGTTTTCTATGCAATGTTACCCAACTGGAGGCAATGAACAGGGGAAAATAAATGGGGGAAAATGAAACCAATTGTGTGTAGAGGAAACAGTCATTTCCTGTTCAGTTAAGACAAAGGAAAGTAAGCTTTCCTGTTTATTTCAAAACTAATCTTAACAACCAAAATGGCCGCCATACGCAGCATAGTATTTACTACTGACAAGCATATCGCGACAGTGCATTTGCTAAGAAAAAAATGGAACGCACATTACAAATCGCTGGTTTAGTAAGTATAAATTTCGGAATAATTATGCTTCTAGATTCAAGATGCTGCAGTTCCTAATAGTTATTAACCCATTTCTTCTGACACTTGACTGAAAGTAAATAGTTTCATTTACAGAGGCAGAAATCTGGGGCAAAACTAACTAGCATGTCTGTTAGGAATTCATTTGCTTCTACGTAAACCTATTCCAGAATTGTTAATCAGCAATCTGTTGTCAATCGGAATTAAGAACAGAATGAAAATTATCTTATTCATTTCGGTTGGAAATGGTAAAGATAATGAAGTACAAATAAGCTATGATATGTAATAACATCCCTAATAGATGCTAAGAATTATTGTAATACCTCATCTCCCACACATATTCAATATTTATTTATTTATTTAAGCTTTCTTTAACCAGGGGGTATGCATTCAGTGACTAGCACCGCTTTTCAAGGAAGCCCTGGTACATGTGGTGGTTATGAAATTTAAATTTGAGTTATTAATATCATTCTTAACTCCCTCATCCTAATAATTATATTTCCTGCTGATAATTACGGTAACAAAATGATGAATGTTATAACATCTTCTAATAGATGATAAGAATTGTACTATCACATCTCCCACTTATCCAATATGGTTGTTATGAAATTAAAATTTCATATATTAGTATTAGTCCTAACTCCCTCATCCTAATAATTATATTTCCAATGTATTTCTTGGGTGATAATAAGGGTAACAAAATTATAAATTTTTATTTTCGATGCCAAGTTTGCTATGACAAATAACAATCCTTAATATTTCATGTAATCTCATATAGCTACCTCATGTCACTTCCCTTTTTTTCTCAATGTTATATTCTGTTATTTCAATTTTATATAACTCGTCTCTCATGAGAATAATTACGACCGCCAAACAGGCTCGCAAAATTGAATAAAAATCGCTTTTGCACTAAAAATTAATAAATAAATGTGTTTGATACGTAATATCAAGGATAGGATCTTGATAATAAGATCAAAGTTGAATTTAATTTTGAAAAGAACAATGACC